AGCATGTAGCATCTTCTCACGTATTTTCGAGCCGCGGAAAGTGGTGTAGTCGTTTTCGCTGCGACGATAGGGCGTGTTGAAAAGGCTGGATTTGGCGCGGCGCCAGGCCGTTCTCCACTCATTGTTGTCGCTTGCCCGCTTCAATAATAAGTGAAAACCTTCTGGCGCCGCTCCAAACTTGCCCTCTTAACACGACTAAGTGTCTATAGCAAAAACGTCTATACATCCTCTGTGTTTGCAGAGGACCAACAAGTTCAAGGAACAGCGTCTGTGCGTCAAACTAACGCAAGACGTGCCTTTCGTAGGGGAACAGCGGTGATGATCGGGTACTTTACACACTGCAGGCCACAGTCTGATCCGATGCCTGGAGCGACGGAGAAGTTCCTTTTCAACTATACAAGAGCTATTTCGTCTCCAGCGGTAGAACGGTGATGTGGAGCGTCCCATAACTTTGCTCAGTGAACCCTCCATGTCAAGCGGCAGTGGTAGGCATGGTGCAATACTCGGCCTGTCTGCGGGTTGGCAACCTGCTCCCTGAGTAAGTTCTTACTCTCGCATCAACGTGGATACCAAAAACTAGAGAATAATTCTGGGCAAATGTTGTCAACCGCTCAACAGACCTTCCGAAAGTGTCCTGGGTCCAAATCCACCCAAAATGGTGAATCACCACTCTAGCGGGCCTTCTGGCTCCGTTCCTTAGTGGGAATGATAGTCACGACATTCTCTCGTACTTCTCCCAGTCTGTACTGAAGCACGGCATGACCACTGACTATGAACTTCTTGACCAGGCGGTCGTACTTGAGTCATTCTGGCGTAATCTCACGCTTGCCCAGAGGTGTGACGTAGCGTGTCACTGAAGCTAGATTTTGCGCGCCTCAGGTCAATTCTCCACGACTTGTTGAAACGGTTAAAGGCACGGTCCGCGATCAGGTATCGAAGTTGAAAATATGGCGTCAGGAGGTTAGAGTGGTCCGCGACGAACAACCTTGTACCGGCGCGGCAAAAAATTCTAAGGGAGGGGCGCTAGCGCAATATAGGTTCAGTGGTTCCTCCTTTTTTCCAGTGACTCCGCCTCCAGACTCCGCCTCCAATGCCCGGCTTTCAGTGAAAACGAGATTGCAGGACGAAAAAGCATGAAAATCGTCACTTGTACGATCGTAGAGTTCTTATCGGTGAATCAGCTGTGCGTATGAGGGCGTAGTGTGGGAGATAGAGTTAATTGGGCACGTACAAACTGGGATCAAAATGGGGTTCTATCTAGGGCAGGTGGCATGTTTTTTGCGCTACTGTTCGAGTTTTAACGTTTAGCGCGCCTTAAGCCAAATTCCCCTACCCTTTTTTCCCGAAAATTTGCCGTCAAGAGCGGAGAAGGAGGGAAGGAGAGGAGGAGTAGGGGTACAGCGTATATGAGACAGAAAAAAAAACTGGAAAAAGTCAAAAAAACATCCTTTCAACGGGCAAAACGCGACCTCTTCATCGCTTGAGCCCCCAAGCAGGGTGGTGCTTCTGCTACATTTGATAAGGTAGGATCAGTGGTTTCAGTAACACATCGCTTACAATGGACTAAGGGGCAGGGTTTCAAGCACATTCAGTGTATTAGCAACTTCAGGTAATGTTTGGTTTAGGGGTATCCAGGTCCCCCCAATATATTGGGCCCTTCCTTGCGGCCCAAAGGCGTACAGCAAGCCATATACAGGCTTTTGATTAGACCCAGCAAGGACCATGTCAGCTTAATCTTTCCCATCTCACCCTTGGCATACTCCGTTACTGTGAAAACGCCCTTATTCGGGAATGTTCGACCATCTACTTTTTTCTTCACCAAACGAGCCAGCACTTCCAATTTCGTACTTGAACACCACCAACATACGACTTGCAATCGCCAAATGAGCCTTTGATGTGATTAAGCTAAACTCTGAATGCGTTCAAATGATTATCGATTGATGAACCAGTTATTTTACTGTACTCTCACAGTAGACCAGAGGATATCACGGTGGCGGAGAAATTTGGCCATAAGCACAACGTCCTCTTATCCCTTCTCCTATCAGCTTGAGCGTTAATTCTTCTATCTTCTTCGATTCCCAGTAAGAAAATACTTCGTTCTAATCAGATCAGAGAAGGAGAGAAATCATAGCATGGCAATATAATATGAACGCTTTACTAATTTTCCGTTCCAGAACTCAAAGGACTCCCAATCCTCAACATCAAGTCCACAGACCGTCTTGTCGCTTGCGTATGATGGGGCGTGTCAATGGGTTCGGAGAGGTGAAAGGGGACGGCGTGGCGTCATTCCTTTTCTTATTTCCTTCTACGAGCGACAGACTGTATCACATCATTCGTACGTCGTTTGCCACCTGTCGTCGTCACTTGAAGCAGAACTCCAGCGATTATCGGGCTCATCCAGATAGTGGATTAGGGGTTCGTAGAACGACAAGGGGTTTGAGGTAATACGATCAGTATAAACATATCACCCTGCCCCAGATGGAACCCTTCATTTTGATCCCATTTCATTTGATCGTGCCTCAATTGAACTTTAAACCTCCCACATTACATGTGCCATGAACACGCCAGCTGAATTTTCACCGATAAAGAATCTACCGGTGCACAAGTAACTGTTCATGTTTTTTCGTCCTGCAATCTCTTTTTCACTGAAAGCCGGGCACTAGGAGGCGGAGTCTGGAGGCGGAGTCACTGGAAAAAAGGAGGAACCACTGAACCTATTACTTGCGTTGTAAGGCTCCTCTCCTTATAGAATTTTTTTGCCACTGCCGGTACAAGGTTCTTCGTCGCGGACCACAATCTCCTCACTAATTAAGCACTATATTTTTAACTCCGATACCTGATCGCGGACCGTGCCTTCAACAAGTCGTGGAGAATTGACCCAAGGCGCGCAAAATCTAGCTTCAGTGACACGCTAAGTCAAGACCTCTGGTGCAACGGAGATTACGCAGATTACACCACTGGTCAATGTAGTTTTCATAGTCAGCTAGTCAATGAGCCGTTGTCTTCCCAAGACACGCCTGGGAGAAGGTACGAGAGAATGACGTGAACTAATCATTCCCACTAAGGAACGGAGCCAGAAGGCCCGCTAGCGTGGTGATTCACCAGTTTGGGTGGATTTGAACCCAGGACACTTTCGGAAGGTCAGTTGAGCGGTCTGACAACATTTGCCCAAAGAATTGTTCTCTTAGTTTTGGGTCACGTTTTGATGGCAGAGGAGAACTTTACTCAAGGGAGCAAATTGGCCAACCCGCAGACAGGCCGAAGTATTGCGCTGGCCTACCCACTCGGCCTGCTTGGACAAGCTTGTGTTTACTGAGGCAAGAGTTATTGTGGACGCTCCACATCACCGTTCTATCGCTGGAGACGAAATAGCTCTTGTATAGTTGAAAAGGAACTTCTCCGTCGCTCCAGGCATCGGATCAGACTGTGGCCTGCAGTGTGTAAAGTACCCGATCATCACCGCTGTTCCCCTACGAAAGGCACGTCTTGCGTTAGTTTGACGCACAGACGCTGTTCCTTGAACTTGTTGGTCCTCTGCAGAGGATGTATAGACGTTTTTGCTATAGTACTAAGTCGGTTAAAGGTGCAAGTTGGAGGCGCGCGCCCAGAAGTTTTTCACTTATTATTGAAGCGGGCAAGCGACAACAATGAGTGGAGAACGGCCTGGCGCCGCGCCAAATCCAGTCTTTTCAAACGCCCTATCGTCGCAGCGAAGACGACTACAGATGAAGATTGCTAACAAATTGTCTGATTACAAACAACGTACCCCGCTACTTCTCGTGCGATTGGTAAGCTCGCTACCAGCTTCTTTTCCTATTACGAATGGGTAGTTGTTGAAGGTGATAAAAAGGGAAGAGCTGATTACTCGTCTACGAATGAACGGTTGGGGAATCAGGGTACAGCAATAGTCGTGTAACACATAGAGGGGGGGGGGTTTTCGTGTCTTCTCCGCTCGGGGCGGGGAGTGTTCGTATGTGCTTTTAGAGAGAAAATTGCTGCGTGGGTAGTAAATGGTCTTCTCCGGTTCGGTGATTTCGCCTGCTTCATCTGTATCTATAATACCACCCCCCCCCACCTTCTGCTCGACAGCAAAATTTTAAAAAAGAGCGAAAATTCTCAGTAAATTCTCGCTAACTTCCGGAAGAAGCGGTAGGAATTTGACATCCCCACCAACTCAAAAAAATTTTCCCGTTCAACATTGCTGTGTACCCCCCCCCCTCTTCGGTGGTTGGCTGGTAAGTTGTTTGTAATCAGCATGTAGCATCTTTGCTAATTTTCCGTGAGAGACTGGAAGAATTGATCCACTGCACTTTCATTTGAATGACGTTTTTTCAACTAATTAGTGACATTAAAAACAATTTGATTCGATTACGACCGGTGAATGAGCGCTTTAGTCGACCGGTTCGAGAACTGATGAGCTGCATTGCCATCATGATCATCGACAAAGGTAGCAATCATATGCTTGAGTTTCTCTTATCTCCGAATAACTTTGATATCGCTTATCACTTCCAACTCTACTTAAGCTCATCTTATTGGTATGCATCAGTTCAATCCTATATTTCTAGCTGCATTCAGCAGATGCCGTCAAGTCGATCACCGTTCGGGTCGCGACTCGCGGCCGGCAAGGACGAAGACGAAGATGATCAGCAGGCTGGACAAGAACCAGACGAGGAGAAGAAGGAAGAGGGCGAGGAAAAGAAGGAAGGCAGTAAGCCGGAAACTCCAAAGGAGGGTGAGAAGAAGGACAGTAAGGAGAAGGATGCTGCCCAAGAGCCACCAAAGGAAGGCGAGAAGAAGGACAGTAAGGAAAAGGAGGCTCCACAGGAGGCACCAAAAGAAGGCGAGAAGAAGGACAGCAAGGAAAAGGAGCCACCGAAAGAAGGTGAGAAAAAAGACAGCAAAGAAAAGGAAGCGGCACCGGCAGCAGAGGGTGAGAAGAAGGAGGAGCCTCCGAAGGAAGGCGAGCTGAAAGCGGACAAGACACAAGCACAGGTTCCAGCCGAACAAGCGAGCGGACCAACACCTTCGGTCAGTTCTACCTATATCTCTCTCATTCTTTCGTGAGTAGTGGGTATATCTGCCTAGTCTGGAGCGTCGTCTAGTGCATGTGTCCCGCGTGATGGTAGAAGGGCTGTAGCCTTAGGTTTAAGCTCTATTCAGCGTAAGGTGCCAAACATGCCTTGTAAATGCGTTTTCTCAGCCTAACCGTTGACAGGCGCAAAGCTTATGCTTAATGATAGATTATCGATTGACGCTTGTGGTTTCCATGATTGAAAAGCCGCCCAGTGTTGTTGGGGGCTGAGAGCTTGTGTAGATGCACGAAACCTGTAAACTGCATCAGCTTCGACCGCTTATGAGCTTCGGATGCTGGAACTTTACTTTTTATCGCCCTCACCAGCATGCGCATATCACAAAATGCTATCAAATGACGTTGGTAAACATGCGTATGTATCTTGAACTTGGAGCACTGAGTCGGTCTGTCTAAGTCAGTACCCCATACCAGATCTGTTAGTGGGCAGGAGGGAGTGCGCTTTACTATCGATCTCACCCATCAAGTGATAAAGTTGTATGGAAACCAAGACGGGTACATGCAGTAGGTTACCGAATCCATAACTCACGGGTGTGTGACCATTGAATCGTGGGCACTGCTAGGTTGCTACAGATGTAGGAGGCGTGCGTCCCCTACTAGGTTAGACGATAGATCAACCCGCTCCCACTAAATGCGATTAGCGTACTTCGCGTCGGAAACTAGCCAAAGTAAGCTCTGGTATACCGGCTTACCTTCAAACCATGCAATTCTTCATGACGTAATTGAATAATTTGGACTCGCTGTTAGAATCAGAATTCTTTAGATAGTATCGAATTGGACATGACTGTTGAAGGCCAGATTTCAGTTTAGAGCGTCGGTTATAAGTGGTCTAGAGCCATTGCATGCGCCCCGAATAGGCAAACTCTGTTCATCGTTAAAAATGACAAGCATCGTTGTATGTGCTTTTTCGCTGTAAGCTCGAAGATTGACAGGCCGGTAAGCTCATGCTTAATGATGGGTTATCGATTGACGTTCGTAGTTTCCGTGATTGATTTCGACCGCTTGCGAGCTTTGAATGCTGAAACTTTACTTTTTATCTTTTACTAGCATGCGCGTATCATGAAATGATATCAACTGACGTTGGTAAACATGCGTATGTATCTTGAGCTTGATGCACTGAATCGGTTGTACTCTAGCCCAGTAATCTCCTACAATCTGTTGGTTTGTTGCGTTCCTATCATCTCTCCCTACTACTGGTAAATTTGTCGGCGGAAGCAAGACGTGTCCGAACCAGGTTACGCAAATCGAATAAACATGCGGTATTACATCGCTAAGCGGCACTGTTATGGGGAGGGGGGGTGGGGGAGATTGGCGCGTGGGGTCAGGCTGCGTCATACTTATGCGAGGCGCCCCCGGTACAGTTACTAGCGTGTACGACGGCTGGCATTCAGCGACTAAAAAAGGTGGATATCGCTCTGGCGTCTGCTAGCGTCCACTAGCGTTCCCATAGCGTCCACCAGCGTCTCGAGGACCAGGGATGCATAGGTATCGATCTAACGTCTGCCATAGTCTAAAAGGCGCTATTCAGTGACCGACTGAGGTATGGGGAGTAGGAGAGTAGCAAACACAGATTAGGCACCTCCGTCAAATTCGCGGCGTGAACTGCACGCACATGCTAAATGACGAATTGTGGCATTTAATGTACTTTTTTTATTTTATTGTATATATTTTCATTTTGGTTTGTTAATTGTGTTGTGTGTTATTTTTATATATTTTTCTATACTTTTGACGCTGACGCTGACCGGACTCTCGGGAACGCTAGTGGTCGCTGCGGGGATCGTAAAGTAGCTGACGCTGCGGCGAGGTAGGGCTTAGTTTTCGCGGGTGTGAATAAATCTTGTTCCAAATAACATGGATAATCGTTGATATCAACATCTGATCTTCTTGCATCCACAATGCGATCGCCGCGCGCGACGTGGGGAGCTGTGACCTGAATAGTTCACGATGAAATCGCCCGTCTCTTACAAATTGCGATTAAGATGCTTGTGAAGACTTGCCTGTATTACCTTCAGTTCCGTTGATCATGAAAGCGCCTCTCGAGCAGGCGCCTGTAAGTCTTACTCCTCCTGCAAAGTGCTAGAGTTGCTCAGTGGGTCTCTGTGCTAACGGGCACCGGTGAAGTGATACATTCGTATCAGAGCATGTAACGAAGAAGTCTGATCAGTTGCGTGAGCAATTGTCGTTGTTCGCTCAAATTCCGTTAATCAGTCGCTAATCACATCTGGGTTCGCGGTCTTCTTCAAAACATGACGTGCCCGGCACGCACCTGATTATTCGAAATCTTGTAAATGGGTTGTGCTCTAATTCTACTGCGTCGGTGGAAGTGCGAAGGTGTATGAGCATGAACTTTCGCAGCCGAGGCGATTCTATGTCGCGAAGTAGGGCGACGGCGCACACGCCGCGCGCGTTTGCTGCGGCGGATTGCCGCGACGCGGCAATCCCGGAGTTGCATTACCGTACTCCCGAGTTGTCATTGGAGCAACGGCCACAGCAAGCTGTGCCTCTTTCAAATTGTTGAAGGGATCGTCGACCCTTTAACAATTTGAAGCAAACAAGCTCGTAGCTGCGGCCGCCAAGCCGCTCGCTCATCGCGTGACACCCGACGATAGAATCACGCACACAGCTCGCGTGAGTCTGTAGCACAAGCGCTATGAACGAGGCTGTAAGGCCGCGTTCATAGCTTGCGACCATGAAGAAAGTGAAGAAGTGCCGAAAGTGCGGAATCTGCAGAAATGCCGAATGTGAAGAAAAGCAATAGATATGTATCGATTTGACTTTCCGCACCTTCCGCACTTTCCGTACTTTCTTCAAATCGATACGTATCTATTGCTTTTCTTCACTTTCCGCACTTTCCGCACTTTCGGCACTTCTTCACTTTCTTCATGGTCGCAAGCTATGAACGCGGCCTAACGTCTGCCATAGTCTAAAAGCGCTATTCAGTGACCGGGACTAGAGCGTATGGGGAAGTAGGAGAGTAGCAAACAGCTGGATTAGGCGTCGTCGAAATTGCGGCGTGCAACTGCACCGCACAACTGCTAAAGCACAGAATTGTGCAATTTAATGTACGTATAGTGTACTACAGAAGTACAGGTCGTTAGTGAACGGTGGTGGACGCTAGGATATCTATACTTTTGACGCTGCCGGACTCTCGGAACGCTAGTGGTCGCTGGCGGACGCTTAGAGACGTAGTTGACGCTGCGGCAAGGTAAGGCCTTAGGTTTCCGCGGTGTGAAATAACGCGAATCCCTTGCTCCAATAAACATGGATAACGTTATGTAATCTGAAAAAAAATTGCTTAAGATGCTTGTGAAGACTTGCCTGTATTACCTTCAGTTCCGTTGATCATGAAAGCGCCTCTCGAGCAGGCGCCTGTAACGTCTCCATTCGTCCCTGCAACGTGCTAAGAGTTGCCCAGTGGGTTCTCTCTGCTCAAGGGACACGATGAACTTCATATTCGTTCAGAGCTTTAACGAAGAAGTCTGATCATTGCGTGAGCGGTCGTCCCGTTGTTCGCTTAACATTCCGTGGAATCCAGTCGGTAATCGCTCTGGTTCCAGCGGTCTTCTTCAAAACATGACGTGCCCGGCCCACCTGATATTCGAAATCTTGGTAAATGCGGCTGTGCTCTAATTTCTATCGTCGGTGGAGTGCGGAGATGTTGACGCATGACGTTCTCGGCACCCGGGCGATTCTATCGTCGGCAAGTCAGGCGACGCCGCACACGCCGCGCCGCGGCAATCCCGGAGTTGCATTACCGTACTCCCGAGTTGTCATTGGAGCAACGGCCACAGCAAGCTGTGCCTCTTTCAAATTGTTAAAGGGATCGTCGACCCTTTAACAATTTGAACGCAACAAAGCTCGTACGCGGCGGCCGCCACGCCGCCTCGCTCCGCCCATCGGCGCGACGACCCGACGATAGAATCACCACACACCCTCTCGAGAGAGGCTGTGTGTCAGGACTCACCGCCGCGCTCGAAACTAGGTCGCCGCGCTGGGAAGTGGGTCACCGCGCGCGGCGATTACATGCTTTAACATGTTTGCATGTTTACCTGTTTGGACATGTTCTTGGCAGATGGAAGATGAGGAAAAGAGAGAACTCCAAGCAAACTGCGATAGGGTCATATTGATCGGAAGTTGGCAAAATGCCAGGTCAGGACTCACCGCCGCGCCACGCGAACAGGTCGCCGCGCGCGGTGACCTAGTTTCGAGCGCGGCGGTGACTCCTGGCCGTCTCCCGAGAGAGGCGCTGAAGAGCTTGGGCGAGATGGTGTCGCCCTGTCGGACCCCTCTCTTCACGTCGATGATGATCTCCTTGTAGAATGGTGAGATCTTGGTCGTGAAGTTGCTGTAGAGAATCACGAAGAATCCTGCTGTACTACGTAGAAACGCCCTTGCCCAGGGCTGCAGTGGTTCCCTCGAGTTGACGGTGGTTCCCTCGGTTCAAGGGACTGAAGCTCATATCCATTACTGTTACGGCGTAAAAAATTTGATTACGCATAGCTTGTCGGGCTCTAACGTGCCACCTTCCACATTGGTACGGTTTGAAACCGTTCACCCACATGCCATTGTGGAGGCCTGTGAAAACTAGCACACAGTAACTTCTGGGTACGGCGGGCAGGCAACCTTCATCCCTTGCCATTCGTTTGACGTAGTCGACGTTTTTGACTCGGCGCTAGAGCATCAAATACGGCCGAGCGTGATCGACGCTTCGTCGAGTGCGTCAATTAACGTCAGTTGCATCGGATCGACACGGTATGTTGTCCTATGAGCCTAGTTGCCGATTACATTGATCACGTCGGATCGATAAGCTCACCTTCCGTCCAGCGTAAGAGCCGAGTTTCCAGTGTCGTAAGATATGAACGCA